ACCCTGACGGCTACACCCACCCCCCACCGACGTGTAAGCGCACACATCCGTATAACGTGAACAATGTACACACGCACGCACTTGGCACACACACACACACACACAACCTCCAATTTGTGGCACCACACAAGCCACACTCGCCGCACACGGAAAGAGATAAGAGAAGAGAAGAGCACCTTTGATGAGCTGCGAAGAGATGTTCCAGCAGGTGGCGAGGGAAAGGCGCAAGAGACGAGCAACCCTGGGGCGATCGGTAGAGAACGGCCGACGTGATCTCGTCCCAGCCTCTGTGGTGTGTCGGCGCGGCACAGAGCACACGACACACGACACACGACACACACGACACACACGACACACACATGACACACACACAAAAGTCGACACACACGACACACACGACACACGCGACACACACAGACAGTGGCCTGGTTAGCAAAGAACAAAGAACGAAGACCGATCACGAGCGCGCGCGTGTGCGGTGAGGCACCTTTGATGATGGGCGCGCGGTGGCGAGGCAGCGAGCGCGGTCGAGTTATGCCGGTTTCGCATCTTGGTGGGTAGTCGTCGTTGAGGAGGCCCCGCACACGACGCAACACGCAACACACACCGCACACACCGCACACACACACGCACCACAATGTCCATGTGCACTGACCGAGCGTTGGTCGGCACCAGGGATGCCGAACCTGTTGGGTGCATGGGACTTTGAGGACCGGGTAGTGCCTCTCCATCGCTGATGGATTGGTGTGTCTCTGTCGTCGTGTGTGTCGTCGTGGTATGTTGTGTGTAATGTGTCTCATGTGTGCGGTTTTAGGTGCTCACCCATTGGTCAAGGCGGCATTGATGGGCAGGTGGGGCGCCATGTCATGTCATGTGTGGCACATGTACCTTCCCACTTCACTCCCCTTCCATTCTTGATGCCACTGGGTTGAACACCTGCACACCAAGGCAAAGCATCTGAATGAGAAGATTGGCAAAATAGAGGTGGACATGGAGGCCATGCAAGCAGCCCTAGGTGCATTGGCACTCCTCACAAATGCCACCATCATTCATGCCCCAATGTGAGGACCAGACAACAATGTCCCACATGACATGTTTGCTAGCATGGATGCTGGCCACTTCTGCAACTGAGGCAATTTGCAACAAGTACTCACTGGCAGGGATGGAGGGCCTACTATGTGTGAAAGGAGTACTATGATGCTTGTGGTTAATCCACAGCTAATGGAGTGCTCATTAAAAAGTGACAGTGGCACTTTTTCATTTTTCAAAAATGTATACATGACATTTGTATGTCTGTGTGGATATGTGTATTTTGATGAACAGTGTCAGGAAGAGAAATTGTGAAATCTGGACAGGATGGGGAAAAGGCAAGGAAACAGGGTGCAAAACTGCTTGAACTGTGGTTTTTTCAGAGGATGAAGTGGGTAGCTGTTGGGAGAGGTATGAAAGGAAAAAGTAGAAATTTAGTGGAATTGAAAAGGAAAAGCCCAACAGGACTTGCACTGCTTTCTTCCAGAGGAAGATGAAGTGGAGGAGCTGGAAGCAGTGCTCTTGGGTGGCAGAGGGGTGAAGCCAGGATATTTGAAGAGTGCTTCCATGTCAGCACAGTGGGTGTCTTTCCTGCAATTTATGGTTGTACAGTTGGTGCTTATCTCCAACTTTCTGCCAAACATCATTATGAACCCTCAAGCAGGGTGATGCTGCCACAGTGGGGAGTGTGAGGACACCCGCCCAGCTCTAAGAACCTAGCCACCCCAGAATGACCTGAGGCTT